ACAAATTTTGTTAAAAATGTGAAAGGTGATGGGACCTTTGTTTGCATATCTCAAAGTTAAAGTATCTGTTTTTTCCTTCTTCTGAAAACCCATCATTGTCTCCCTTCCGCTCTGTTACGTTTTTGCTATGTGGTACGTCTTTTCATCCTCCCATCACGTCATCTTTGAAATCCACAGTGATAGGCAGCGAAAGTAAATCATTAATCAATTTGAAAATGCAATCAAGTATTGCGGTTTAATTCGAAAAATAGGCTTTTCGTTTTGAGAATGCGCAAACGTTCGGCGAGTCAAGCCCACTGGGTTCCTGAGAGATTGACATTTCTAAAATCTTGTCGTAATGCTATTAAGAGTCACCATTGAGTTAGTACACTACTAAATGATGATGTTTTTGACCAACATGTGCAAACTTACTGAAGAAAACCTCACAAAGTAAAGAAAATTTTTTTATATGTCATACTATGAGTTTAAAATATGCCATACTGCAGAGTATGAATCTGGAGTTTGATATACTTTGCTCTTATTATAGCATTTTCCTTCTGACATTTTATATATGAGACAACTGTATAAAGCATCTTATGCGATAGAGATTATGACAAGAAATTTGAAGTAATTCAACTAACCAGAGATCACGTAATATTACTTAAAACGCTCAAGCTGTCTAGCGCTTTGCTCCCTATCCACCGTTCCGCTCCCAACAGCTCTTATGACGCTTCAAAGGGATCCTCTTAATTCTATACGATGCAAAATAATTTTAGCTTGAGATAAGGTGATAGAATCTCCACAGAATAAAGGGACTGATTTTTTTCTAGGATTATTTGCACTTTTACTGCTCATTTGTGCTCAGTCCTCTGATTTTTGTCTGAAATGGGGTTGTAGTCGTTATTTTACGTTTTAATTTTTTTCCTCTTTTCTCTCTACAAACTCATTGAATAATGTTACCTCAATTATTGAAGCACAACCGTTTTTTTTTCTAAGTTTGTGGAAGTGGTGGAAACAAGCTTTTGGTAGGCGGATCAGAAATCTAAAAAAAATTTAGATGAAAAAGATTCAAAAAAAGCAGAGCGGAAGTATGATGCA